TTATACTCAGAGGCTCTCTCTCTGTCCAACTCACTGTCTGTCACTAAACTGTAGAAATTAGATGATGATGATTTTAAAATAAAGGGAATATTCTCGTTAAGAAAACACTGGACTTTTCCATTTTCTCCTGAGTCCTGATCTTCTGTGTTTATCATTGTTACTACAGTTTCAGGTTTTACGTCCTCTGATATCACATTTGACTTTGACATTATTCTAATTTCAGGCTTGTTGTCATTTACATCCTGTACATCTACAATTAATTTTGATGAGTGTGTCAATCCACCGTTATCACTTGCAAGTAATTCAATTTGAAAATGCCTTGATCTTTCAAAGTCAATTTCACCAATTAGTGCAATTTCACCATTTTCCTCATTTATTTGAAATACTGTATTGACCTTGTCTAACGTGTTTGTTATCGAGTATTTGATTTTACTGTTCGACCCTTCATCTGCATCTGAAGCTGAAACTGTAGCAACAACTGTACCTTTAAGGGAGTTTTCAGTAACTGTAGCTTTGTATGTTTTCTGTGTAAAAACAGGAGCATTATCATTAACATCTAAAACTGTAATAACAATCTGCATGGTTCCTGACATCTGCGGCTCTCCTCCATCTACAGCTGTTAACACCAGATTTATCTGCTCCTGTTGTTCTCTGTCTAAAGGTTTCTGCAGCACCATCTCCACGTTTTTATTGCCATCAGCGTTTCTGTGGAGCTTCAGAATAAAATGATCAGATGGTTTTAATAAGTAGTCCTGCAGATCATTAATTCCTACGTCATTATCTACGGCCCTTTTTAACACAAATGCCGCTCCTGTTACTGCTGACTCACTAATTTTAAATCGCATCTCATGTTTTTCGAACGTCGGTGCGTTGTCATTGATATCTGTAATCTGCACCGTGACAGTGTAAAATTCCATGGGATTCTCCAGAATAATCTGAAAATCTAAAGCACAAAGCTCGGTCTCCGTGCAGAGCGCCTCTCTGTCGATCCTTTCTTTCACAAGGAGGACGCCTCTGTTTGCGCTCAGCTCGACGTGCTCCTCCCTGTTCCGACTAAATATCCGAGCTTTACCGGATATCAAGCGTTTAATTTCTATTCCCAAATCTTGGGCAATATTTCCCACCAAAGAACCTTTTGGCATTTCCTCCGGAATAGAGTAGCTAGCCTGCGCGAGCGTCGTGTCGAGGAAAATGAGAGAGATGATGAACAACAGTACTTTCCGTTTCATTGTTCTGTCCTTTTTTTCCATTGTGAGCCTCCGGTCTTTTCCACAAACCAGATACAGAAAAAAAAAACAATATTTCCACGTCCTGATGAATAATTAAACAAATAAAGTCAGCAACTGCAAGGCAGTATTTTTTGACAAAACAATGTTTTTTTATATATATTTCCAATATTCCTTCTGCGGCAGCTCCGTCCCGACCGTCGTGCTCTTTTTATCTTATGAGAAAAAATATGTGGGTGGWGGAGTTAAATACCAGTCTGTAGCCATCAACACGCAAGTCAAGAGCGGCCCTTAGAGTCCAAATCAAAGAACTACAAAGTATCATGTGCAAAATCACGTCACAGTTTTATAATTTCAAATGAAATCTATTGGTTAAATATATACAAATAACAAATAAACCATGATTAATCGAAGTTTCTGAATTATCTTATGGTGTTTAAAGGTTGCATTGTTTTCAGTGTTGTATAGTTTATATAAAATACTTGCAGAGGGGAAAAAGAAACCAATAAGCTCATCTGGCTTTCACAGAGACAAAATCCACCTTAACAGACTTCCAGTTCTTACAAACTTTTTTATATAACATATATTTTAAACAGTTAGTATTTACATTTACTAATTAACAAAAAAACCGAAATAAAATAAATTAAATAGAAACTTTGAAATGATTACTTTACTATTTAAAGCAACAGTGTCAACAGCAGATTTTGCAGGGTCTTTTAATCGCTCTGTCCATGGTTCTGAAAGCAAAGAACACATGTATCACTATGCACATTTTTTTTGTCTGAATAGTTCCCTCTACTTTGATTTTTTAAACTGTTAATTGTGTTATTATTTAGGCTGCCTATGTTTTAAGGTGTAACCTCAGGGAGTGAACTCGAAAACATGTTTGCCAATATTTCATTCCTGTGGCAGCCAGGGCCTGCAGATTCAGGATCATAAAACCACGGGAATGACCACTAAACTACTCCAACCTCCTCAAACTAGTTTGGATTTAAACCCACGACTTCAAAATATGTGTAGCTGAATTACAGAGCATTAAAACCTTTGCATGTCCCATCCGAACTGCAGGATTTTGCTGTTTGTCACAGTTCTATGACGAAAATTGCGTCATTCAGCTCCAAGCTTCGAGCTTTCCACACCTTTGCCCGCCGGGAGAACTGTAAACCCACTCCTCATAACAACTTACTGTATGATTGGCAAAAAAATAAATAAAATAAAAAATAGGGGGCGTGTTCGTTTATGCTGAAAGCGCTCGGACGCTGCATTTAGCTTCAACCACGCGCTTACAAAAACAAATGTATGGAAAAAATATATTAAACAAAAAGAAAACTTAAAAGATGAAAAAAGATAAAAATAAATAAATTAACTGGCTTCCAGACGGCCACTGTTTTGTCCGAAAGCAGACATAATAATGAAAAGGCCAAACAATCATGAATGGAGAGGAAATAGATCGTGTGTAGGGATGAATAGCTGCAGAAAAGTGGAAAACTTAAACCGGAGCGTTTTTGTAAAGAAAAAATAAATAAATAAACAAAACAAAACAAACAACGAAGCATACTTTTTTGTCCGGAGTGTAGACTCCATAGAGGAGAAAACCCTTAATTGTAACGAAGCGGGGGGCGGGGTATCACAGGAGCTGTGCCTCAGGGGCTGTGTGTGCGTAAAAACGCACGCGGAACAACCATGTGGCCGCACATCAACTGTTCAGCTTCAGATGGAGTGAGTGGAGGCCTTTAGACCACTCATCAAAGTAAACTCCTTATGATATATAAATKGTTTAAAAATTTGACTGTGCAAATGCATCTCATGAAGCAGTGAGATGAAACGGAAGTGCTCCAAACACAAATAAAAGGAAACTCAAATATTAATYAGAAACTAATGTATGTGAAAATATAAACATTGTATTTGTGTGGCAAAACCGATCATAAACAAGATAAGAAAAATAAGTTTCTCACACATTTATGCAGTGATAAAAAAATAATTAATTGGTCTAACCTCTAAAGGAGAGTCTGGCTGATCCAGGAGGTTCTTGTCACTCTGGATCCTCTGCATGGTTCCTGTAGAACTGGGATCCATTATCAACACGTTCTGACTCGCAGCTCCCCCGAA